GATATGGTTTCTGCAGTGAATGAGTATATTCTAAGTCAATTCCCAGGAGATGCAGTGGCATATTACAGCGCAGATTCTATTGAGATGGACCCTGGGAAGGAGGGAGTTGTGGATGCTGATTATTCAACCGAGTTTTTGAACAACCTCAGGATTGGAAACTTTCCAGACCATCAGTTGGAACTAAAAGTTGGGTGTCCAGTCATTCTATTACGGAATATGGATCAAACTGTTGGCCTTTGTAATGGTACTAGAATGGTTGTGAAGACTTTGGGTAAATGGTTCATTGAGGTGGAGATTTTGACAGGTACCAATATCGGTGATCGCGTCTTCCTTCCTAGATTGACATTATCAACCCATTACAAGAGTCTTAATTTCACCCTCATTAGAAGGCAATACCCTGTGGCTCTTTGTTTTGCCATGACTATTAACAAAAGTCAGGGTCAAACACTAGCCAATGTTGGTTTATGTCTTCAAAGACAAGTTTTTAGTCATGGTCAGCTATATGTTGCATTGTCAAGAGTTACTACAAGGCAAGGATTGAAGATTTTGAGTGGCAATGAGAATGGAGAGGAAGGCACTTCAATGGTGAACATAGTATTCCCAGAAATATTTGATTGATTTATACGAACTTCAATTCAGGTTTAACTTATGATTACAGTTTATATTTTTTATGGACAACTGTTAGGCGTCATGTTTGGCTATTTATTTTTGTTAAGGCAATTTCCCTAGCAATGGACTATATGTTTTTATGCATTGAGCTTATGTATCTAGCCACTGATGAAAAGAAAAGTTTGTACTCATAGATTACTCAAGAGATCTGACGATTTTAGGAAAACATTAATACATTTGTCGAATTTACAATTCTGTTATTACCAATATTATATATACAATGACAGTTTAACATTTTTTAAAGACTAAATTTTAAATGCTATATTTTAGCTGGAAAAATGGGCTTATTTCCTATGTGGCTCATGAATTAATCGGGCCCGGAGTTTTGGCAAAACCCATGGCAAATGACTATACACAGCCGGGCTGATACATTCCAAATTCACCTATCTAAATTGGGCCTGTGGGGGTTTTTTTATTTTGTTTGGGCGGCTTCCCAAATGCATTGGCAGCGAGTTCCAACTCTAAACTCTAGAGTACAATAATTTAAAAGGAATTACCAAATAGCAAGGAAGGTGACAGTAAACAAAGAGCAAAATTATATGATGCTCAAAATATGGTTACATGAAGGACCACCTCAAAAGGATAATAACCTTTCAAAAAATATTTGCGTTCACATATCCATTACACGGTTAGATAATTCGAAATTAGAGTGAGGTGGACCATTACTAACATTAATCCAATTATATTAATAATACCCTACGCTACTTAGTCATCTAAAATCGGGAACAACTTAACCAAGAAGAGATCAAGACGATTCTCCACGTTGTTCCAAGGTCCGAATGTGACCAAGACCCTATATGGCGACTCACCAATCATGTTGAGTAGTGGAATGTACTCCACATCTTCCATCTCATCATGACCAACAACAGCAGACATGACTCGCCGTAAGTAAGCTGATGGAAATACGACCTCAATATCGGTGATAAAATCTTCAATTGTCAAGTGAAGCAAGTATATGCTGGATGCGGCATGCCAAGATCTCCTCAATTCTGTGACCCAGCCATTGAAAATGTATGACTTGCCCTGGTACAAGCCAAAACATGAGGAGTTCAAAATAAGACCAAATTAGATGCAAATTCTTTAGATAAAATATAGATTCCGGATAGATAAAATACATGTTATCTGATTCACCTGATTAGCAACATCCAATTGCATAGGGATAAGATCTATAGTTTCTACAGTATCCCAAATTCTTGCGGCAACTTCATAGTGCAGATTTGAAACGAAGTCTCCCATGGAAAAAAATCTATAATTTAGATTAGTAGCAATATTAGCAACTCTATCAACAAATGTTAGAGCTGTAAAACTAATCAACTAATTATGTAAACCCGAATATACACAAACAATATCAACCCAATACATGAATGTGTCAATACAAACATACAAAGTTTCCTTGGAGTATCGAACTAAAAAAAAAAAAATTCTGGATGATAAGATTGTAGTAGATCTGGAGAAACCTAATTTGAAGGCCAGCAAGCGAATGTAATTGATGAGTGGGCTGGAAAAATTGGTTGAAGTTCTTGATGAGAGGAAAGGGGAGATTTTGCCGAGGTAGGGTTTTAGAAATTACCTTTTAGAGATGCTGAGATAGGACTAACGTCGATCAGGCAGAGAGAAGGCCTGGAAAATGAGTGCATGCACTGGAATGGGTTTCCAGTTGCTTTGTTGGCCGGAGAGTGAGCAGAGCAGAAGAAGGCGTCAGGGAGGAAGGGAGTTGAAACGTCTTCGGCTGGGTCTTTACGCGGTAAGACTTTAGAACTTACCTCCTGGAGATGTAGAGATGGTACTAATATCGGTCAGTCAGGGAGGGCTGGAACATGAGTGCATGCAATGGCTTGGTTGGACTGTTGGTCTTCTCGCCGGCGAGTGAATAGTGACGTCGTGACTCGGTGCCGTTGTTGGAGTCCGCGCGAGTGGTGATTCGACGGTAGGGTTGTTCGACGAGGGAGAATGAGCGAGCGTAGTGGGAGGGTCGGGGTTTGCGGAGGGAGCGGGAAGCAGGAGAAGCAGAAGATGGCGGGTTGGGGATGTGGATGGTCAGGTTTCTGTGGAGGGACTGGAGGGTAGGTGAGAGCGATGGAGGAGGGAAAGGAAGAAGGGAGTTAAACCGTCTTCGGGTGGGTGGGAGGTTTTTATTGTTTTTTTTTTATTTTGGTTTTTATATTTGTTTGATCCAAACGTGGCTATGGCTGTCCATTTGGTTTGGGTTTTTTGGGTTTTAACCAAACCCAAACCAATTGGAAAGCTAATTGTTTCTTTTGTTTTGTTTTAAACCAATAAGCAACTTAATGGTTTTGGTTTGGTTAAAACCGAAAAACCAATAGAAACCATTAAGAATACAATTATTCATCCGCAAGTTTTTTTTTGTTGTTGTTTCTTTTGACACGCATACCAACCAATAATTTGTGCTGACCATACAGATATGTTTTTGTCAAATGATAATAAATAAATGAAAACCTAACTCTTTTTTTTTACTCGATGATACGAGTGATTTACTGGCTAAAAAATTCACTACTTCAAAATGGTATTCATTTATTTTATCAATCTGCCAACCCTAGCGATGCATTGTCAATTGATTCACGTTTATGAGAAAATGACACACCTAATTTCAACTCCTCCTCCCAACCAACAAACCGCTGCTGAAAGGGATCGTCTTAAGCAACATAGTCCTGTGACTCATTTGGTAGTACATTAAATCAACTTTGAAGGTCTTACAAAATCATAATAATTTGATCTGTATATTTCACTTGCAGGAATACTCACCATTCAAGCACAAGTGCACCATATTGATCGCTTGAGTTCCAAAAACCCTTTACTCTGAGAAAAACGTCATTGGGATGGATGTATTGCACCATCCCAATTAAATCTTCCCGTGTGTTAAATGTAAATTAACGAAAGAGAATTTTCTGTTATTATAGTTTAATTGATCAATAAAAAACAAATGGTAAATGAATTGGCAGAAATGTGGCAAAGCCCATTTCACTCTCCCAACTTTTATTGCCGCCAGTGTAAAGGGAAAAGTTCAGTTTAGGATATGTGCTTTTGTCTTTATACTTTTCTAAGGTAGATAGATATATAAATGGACCCATTCTAAATAACCAAGCGAAAAAGATATTTCACATGGGCCTGTTACACATGACGGTCCATCTATAGCCCACAACAAGATCTCATATGTGAATGTCGTTTCCCCTAATCAACAGTGGAGGAGGTTTCGGCCCACATGGTTTTTTTGGTTTTTTGGGCGGCTTCCTAGCAGCATTGGAATCGAGCTCCAACCCTAGAGGCTAGAGTACAACAAACAATTCTTGGCGCTACCATTGCCTTTCACCGGCGAGTGAATTGCGACCACAGTCTCGGATCCCCGTCGGCAGCGAACGCTTATCTGAGGATGGCGCTAGCTAACCGGTCTTCCCCATGCAGAACACCTGCCCCAAATATCCATCTCCCCATATCCCTAATTGGAAGAAGCAACCAATTGCCCAGACTACATCCGCCCCGAACATTGCAATTCAATTCAACCGGGTGCAGGTTGGAAGATGGTTTCCACCTGGAATCAGACGTCACGCAGTCAAAGCCTCAGCTCCGACTTTGGCCCTCTTTGCGGCGGCATCGGGGAATAAAAGGAACCGAGCTGCTTTTCAATCCCAGGTACTCATTGAACATGGACGGTAAGTTATACTGGCTCTGTTTTGGCGCGTTGCCGGTCCTTGGGAAATTTACATTGGTTTATAACTGACATATTTGAATTTTCCCCCCTATTTCCATCTCCAGCTCTACACCCTTTGAATAAGCAGTTCACGTTGGTGTAGCAGTTACCTTCCGAAGATGTTGCTGTTGCTTGCCAACGTGGGGCAATTGGTAACTGCCCCAACTGGAATCCACATATATATACCTTCTCTAAATCTCTCGGCTCATTTTATATTTCAGTTGACGCTTGCTAAATCCCGCCAGGTAACTTCTTCTTCACAGAATTTTTTTCCCACTTCATTCCTCCATCAAACCAACCTCCTATTCCTACACTATAACTAAGTGCTTATGTACTTTGGTAGCTACACCATGGCATTCAATGGCATCCGAGATCTTGAGTCCGAGAAACAACTCTGGTCAGGGCATTGTCGCGTCTCCAGGGCATGGTTGGGTGTTAATGTGACGACTGATAAAGTCCTGCATTTCGATCTCATCTTGATGGATGCCAAGGTACGGCTGTGTTTAACATTAACTTTAGTTGCGCCACATATCATCCAGACTGTCTTATTTCGTCTCTATAATCCCCAGGGGAATGATATATGGGTGCATATCCCACCAGTGCTGCAAGAACACTTCAAATGATTGCTGAAGGAACAGCAGGTCTACACCATTAAAAACTTTGAGCTTCACACGACCCAACTGAAATATCGCCCCATTGCCAATACATATATCATGTCGTTCTCCCGGAAGACTACTGTTGAGCATGTTCCCGATGTCCCTTCCATTCCTGCCTTCAAATTCAAATTCCTCAAAGCAAGTGAGATGGCATCTAAATTGAATGATGTGGTCGTCCTCTCAGGTTACAACCGCAATTTATTCAGTGGTTGATTTCCTTTCTGTGCTTGCTTGCGTCTAATTTCCATTAACTTTTCTTTGTATAGATGTTGTTGGGCAAGTAGTACAGCACTCGGATGCCATCAAGACAACGAATCTTGCTAGGAAAACCATTCGGAAGGAGCTTCAACTGAAACTAATTGAGTAAGAGCTATCTTTGCTACGGTTGTATCAATATGAAGTTGGAGTTACATGAATGATTGATGATTGCTTGGGTACAACGTTCTACTTTTTCTAGGCAGTATAAATTTAGATCATGGGTTATTCAGCCTCTGATCATATACATTTATATGGGTCACTTCATTGTATGGTGTTCATTTACACCCATGCTTAGGCAATACTTATGTTGTCAAACCTAAGCCTACGTTGTTTTACAGAGGGGATGTTGTCAAAGTTATTATCTGGGGAAGAGTTGTAGCTGACTTTGATAAGTTGATCAAGCCTGGTGATGATGAACAAGTCATACTGGTTGTAACTGCGGTTTCTGTCAAACCCTTCCTAGGTACAACATCTGTTTACACTGTGCTGCATTTGAGATATATGGGTGACTGATCAGTAGGAACAACATCAATTTAATTTTTCAGGTGAACTTTGCTTTAATTCTTCGGGTTCAACAGTGTTGTATCCCAACCTTGATATCCCAGAAGTAAAGGCTTTCACAACCAGGTATTCTCTTTTAATTGCTAATGAATATCCGAACCATACTGTTGAACCAATGTCAAATTAACATATTTATTTCTTTTGAAAAAGGAATGTGCAACCACAGCAGCCCGTGTTTGTTGAATTACCCCCACCCCCCTTCATCCCTAATATTACTCTATCGGAATTGCTGGAACTTCAATTGGACCCTGATAATGAGGTTAGATTATGGTGTTTTCTCTAATTTTACATTATGGTGTTTTCTCTAATCTATACGCCAATATTAATTCACTTCGACTACAACTAGGAATGTGTGTATGCTGTTGAATGCATAGTCGTAGGAATCAAGCCATTTTGGTGTTATATGGGCTGTCCAACCTGTGTCCTTAAACCCATAGAAAGACATGGAGAATACTACTGTGTCAAATGCAACAAGCCAACACCAACAAGAGCTGCCAAGTAAATACCATATCATTGAGTTCCAAAATAAATTCCATCAGATCCTTGAATTATAAACTTCATTGAATATGCTGAATTTCCATTTCGTGCCTTTCCAGATATCGTATACAGCTTGATGTTGAAAGCAGTTCTGTGCCAGCTACCTTTATCATCTTTGAGTATGAAGCAAAACGCTTCTTTGGTGTCAGTGGTAATGATCTTTTCAATAGGACGGGTCAGAACAATGAGGTACCCCCTCCAGATCTACTCCAAATAGTTGGTGAGACCAAACTATTCCATGTCAAGTTCAAGCTAAATCTCTACAGTGATTCACAAGCTGATTTCACCGTCTTAAAAGTCTTGGAACCCACAGAACAGGTGAGCTACTCATTAGATCTTCCAGACTTATAACTCTACTATACTGTTTTGTGTACAATGACTATGACATATGTTTGCATGACCTGATTCGTACTTGATTAATAATAGCTTTCATTGAATCCTCTTAAAGTCCTACTATTAATTGTTTCTACTTTCCACCATTTTTTAATTTAAGTCTCCAGCTTCTGTTCTTCACAAAGATGCCTCATGTTCATCAATTACCAGTGGAGTTGAGTCCTCCCAAACTTCATCGCAACCTTCCATCCCAGATCCAGCACATCAAGAGGCAGACAAAGGCGTTTCTGTTGATATCACACCTGATAATAAACTGAAACGAAAGATGCACCCAGAGTGATATCTGAGGGGTTGAACGTTATGTAACCAATACCCTATTAGTAGTTCCACTTTGATTCTGTAGAAGAACAGTTCAATTTCCTTTTGTTGCTAGACTGCTGGGTGTTTGTCGAAACTGTTTACTGGTTTTCCTTTGTTCCCGTTTGTTGTGTTGCACAGTGACAATGGGGTCGTTGTGCCATACAAGGATTGATGGATTTCAATATACGTACCTATTCTCTTGGATGCAAAAACAGTAGTTGAGGAGTTGGTCGAGACAAGTGATATCAAAAAATACAACGTCAAATTCTTCAACTCTACTGAATTCCAACCCGCATATGTGAACGATCAATATTTGGCAAATTGAAATGCTTTATCACATCCTTTGACAAATAATGAATTACACACATCTTTATTTTCATCATGCCTTTCTTACATGGTTTTCCTATCCTATGTTTTCATCTCAGCATCGATTACATGCTCATACAATGGGCCCCTTTATCCCGCACATCTCTTAAACCAGCAAATTCATCATCAAATTTCAAATGAAACATATTGAATGACATTTCAGAGTTCAATCCAGTACAGTTAAACAACTTGGACATCACCAAAGATCCATTTCATTTGGAGTATAAGGAAAAGAATGTTAATAATTACTAATCCAACTCTGACCAGGTAATTAGCATCAATGAAAGGATCATTGGCTGCTTCCATTTTCACATCATGCCGAGATCAAGGTTGCTATGTGCAGAACCAGACTTATGATTCGACCAACCCCTGCATTAGACCATTCACACCATTAGTCAGAATCCAGACAAGTCTTAGGGTAAAAAATGTTAATAGTTCCTAAGCCGATGCTTACTATGTACTGCTACTTTCGCTTGCCAATATGGCCTGTCATTTTCCTATTAAAATATATTATTAATACAAATATAAGTCATTAACTGCCATGATCACCACGTTCTTCCACTATGCCACCTATTCTCAAGCTTAAACCACTTCCTTCCCTGCAAGTCTATATAAAGAACATTTCCAGCACGTGAAAAGGTTTGCTGCCATCCAAAATATTGACTCTTTTCCAGCGTGCCGTATCAGTGATGGCTCTCCGCAATTTAGCCCAATTGAACCTCCATGACAATGACCAGGCTGTTCACGTCAGGCTCCTGCGTTTATGGCATACAATGAGGCCTGATGGTGTAACGCTTGACCAAATCCACATGTTGTTTCTCGACAACCAGGTACTTTGATTTTATAAGCCTTCTATTCGTTACATGAGTGGGAAGTACGCTATTCAATTCTAAAATACTCAAAGATTTTTTACCGTGACTTTTAGGGAACAGAGATGCAGGCCTTGGTTGATATTCTTAATGTTCAGTTGTTTGCTCCTCTTCTTCACGTGGGAAGGATCTATTTCTTGAGCAACTTTTTGGTCCAAGAATATGATGATACGTATAGAGTTGCTCCTGCAACTATCCGAATCCGCTTTCATAATGATACGGTGATTGAGGAACTCCAGAATGCAGCCGACATACCAACATATAGCTTTCGGTTTTTGGCTGCTAATGATCTTCCCTTTGTTGTCCATAATCATGATATTTGTCTGGTATTTCTAATTCAAAGAAAGCTTTATTTGGCCGGTTTGGTTTTCATATTGTGTGCCTAACGATATGTTTGGGCTCAGATTTAATTGGGGAGGTTGAAACTGTTGAACAAGAAGAGGTCCTATTCGAAGATGCTGCTATTTTACGGCGAAAAAGGGAGTGCAGCTTAGATTGATTGAGTCAGTTGGTTGTTTTTTTGTACAGGTTACATTTGACGTGTGCTTACCGTATGCAGCCCATTCATGCATCTTTTTTTTAAAAAAAATTTTAGGGGACCTATAGTTGATGTCGTCTTATGGGATGGTCTAATTGACGAATTTCAAGCTGTGACACCTAATGATCCTTTACCAGGAACAGTAGTTGTCTTCACTTCCGTTGTTGTTCGCCACTTCGCAGGTCTCTTACATGGTTTTCATTCTATTTTTCGAACCTGTTCTTTTAGTTTAGATTAGTGGTAATTGAGTTTTTAGATGTTATGGTTTTAGGGGAAGAATATTGTGTGGGCTCAAATGCAACGAAAGTATATTGCAACTTGCACTATCCTCACGTGCACCCCCTGCTTGATAAGTAAGTGTTTAACCTTTGATCAATAGAATCAATTCTTTTATTATTCTTATTCTCATGTTTTGGAATTATTTTTTTTATTTACAGTATAGAAAATGTCCCGCTGGCCATTGACTACACGTTGGAGGATGCTATATGGTTAAGTGAGATATGTTCCATTTCGGAACTGAATCTATATAAGACTGATTTCACCAACCAGGTAGTTTATATGTACACTCGGTCAACTCCTACAAAAATTTCAACATTCATATTTTGCTCCCATTGAATATCATAATTGTTGGCCTGGACACCATGGTTGGATGTAACTGCGTCTCTAATGCTCTAACTTGACCAATAAAATATCAATTATCCTCTTACCATTCCCAAATGTAAGCTTTCATGTGGTTCATATTGCAGGGGAATTTGTACCTTACTACTGCAACAGTCAAGGATGTTACTGTTTCTTGGTCAAGTGTGCATCTCAAGTTTATGGTGAGGCTGACTGTTGCTACTGGTCCTCATGAGGCTTCTATCATGTTTATGACTACCAAGTTCCGGTGGATAGCAAGCCGTATCATTGAGGCTACAGACAAGGAATGGACCAATGACTTCAGGACTCTCCTAGCTGCTCTCAGGGGGAATATATTGAAGTTTATGATTGAATTTGGAGATTTCAACGGCCAGACCAATGAGTTTGATTTGGTTCTTCGCAAATTATTCTGGTAGAGGGGGTGACGTACTTGAACAGTGCTTTAATTCAAAGATAATTTCTGTATAGTTGTTCCAATTATGAATGTTGAACTCTTTCCCGAATAGATTATTACTTGGCTGCTCCATCTATCTCCTGTGGTTTTTACCAATGTGATGCTTATTATTATGTTCCAAATATTACAGCCCACTTATTAAATTTCATATATTCGTATAAACATTTTAACTGAACAATTTGTAACTTAAATTGACCAAAAAATGAATTCGTTTTCATTTGATTTCATGTTCCAACGTTTGTCAAATGCGCCGCTTATGTTTAGTTTACCCGCCCAACGGGCCGGGCCCTGCGCTAGTTTGACATGGAAGAAAATAGACAAATGAATATGCTTTATATATTTTATAGATTATTACGCTCAACTGAAAAACGTAATTCTTCCACGAGGACCCTGCACAATTGGCAGTGGCCCTTATTAAGCTATAACGCTGTTGTGTGTACTGTATATAAAGTGATTTTGTTGCTGAATGAAATTAGAAATTTTGAACAGGAAGAGGGAAGTTGAGAACTTGTCTTTATTAAGATGGATTTCTCTTGTCAACTCTCTTCATTCTACTAGCTTCTAAACTTGTAGTCGTCTGATTGGGGTTTCCAATTACGAATTAAAATGTAAAATTTACGTATGCAATGTTTACAGAGGATATAGGCGCAGGAAGAACATAAGATATTTGCTTTTGTCTCAAAAAACCTAAAGTTCTCTTTTGTTGACTATTAAAGGGTGAAACTTTCTGAAGAAGGGTTTGATTGAGCAGAAAGGAAGGAGGAAGAAGAAATGGGAATTCCTCAGCTTGTTTCGTGCTGGGTTTCTTTCATTTATACTATTCCGAATTTACTGTAACTTAACGGTAACAAAGCCAGGTGTCCAAGAGCGATTGCCTGTAAATAACTAACAGCAATAACATAAACTAAACGCTGCGTACAGCAATCGTTTCTAACAAGAAACGTTTCTTCTTCAAACAAGCCTTCAGCTCCAACGTTCTTCTTCTTCTGCAAACTCAGCAACCATCAGCTGCTGCTTCCCTTTGGACTTCTGCACCTCTTCTTCTTGTTGATTCAAATCAGCAACCCCTTTGAACTTCATCACGCCCCCACAAGTTGGCGCGTATATGTTTAATACGCCCAACTTGTCCAACAAGTAATTCAACCTGTATCGACTTAGGCCTTTAGTAAACAAGTCAGCAAGCTGATCTTCATTTCTTACAAACTTCAATTTGATAAGTCCAGACTTGATCCTTTCTCTAGTAACATGAACATCGATTTCGATGTGCTTTGTCCTTTCATGATAAACTGGGTTTTCTGCAATCTGAATTGCAGACATATTGTCACAATAAACCAGAACTGGTGCTTGAATCTTCACATCCAGTTCTGCAAGTAGCCCTTTGAGCCACTGTATCTCACACACAAGATGAGCTAATGCTCTATATTCAGCTTCAGACGAAGACCTAGACACTGTAGTTTGCTTCTTTGCTCTCCATGTAATCAGAGATCCACCTAGGAAAGTACAATAACCAGAAATGGATCTCCTTGTGTCAGGACATGCTGCCCAATCAGCATCACTATAAGCCTTCAAAACCAGATCATTGTTTGATTTGAAATGCAAACCCTGACCTGGTGCTCCCTTCAAGTACCTCAAAACTCTGTAAGCAGCCTGTAAATGAGTGTCTCTTGGTTGTATCTGGTATTGACACAGCTGCTGAACTGGGAAAGCAATATCTGGTCTGGTCACTGTCAAGTAGTGTAATCTGCCTACCAGTCTTTTGTACACACTTGGATCTGGCAGTAATGTTCCTTCAGTTGCACTTAATTTGATTTTGCAGTCAAGGGGACTTTTACAACTTTTAGCATCCAATAATCCTGTTTCTGCAAGTAAGTCCATGTAGTATTTCCTTTGTGAAACTGAAATCCCACTAGAATTCCTTGTCACTTCCAATCCCAGGAAGTATTTCAAACTTCCAAGATCCTTGATCTTAAAATCCCTTTTCAGGAACAACTTAACTGCCTCCAAATCACCTAATCTGGGGCCTGCAAGTATTATATCATCAACATAGACTAGAACAATCACAATCCTTCCCTGAACCCATTTAACAAACATGGAATAATCAGATGAGGACTGTGAGAATCCATTCTTCAAAAGAGATCCAGTAAGCTTGGCAAACCACTGCCTATTGGCTTGTTTCAAGCCATATAATGACTTTTTGAGTTTACAAACCATGCCTTCAGAACCTTCATCCACTGGAAATCCTGATGGCAACTGCATGTACACATCTTCTTCCAAGTCCCCATGCAAGAATGCATTGGAAACATCTAACTGATGTAAACACCAGTCCTTTGCTGCAGCAACTGCAAGTAGTGTTTTGACTGAATTATTCTTAGCAACTGGTGAGAAGGTATCCAGAAAGTCAACTCCATAAACTTTAGTAAAACCCTTTGCCACTAATCTGGCCTTGAATCTTTCAACACTTCCATCTGGTTTGAGTTTAATTTTGTATACCCATCTACATCCAATTGCCTTCTTCCCTGGAGGTAGTTTAACTAACTCCCAGGTTTGGTTTTCAATAAGTGCAAGTAACTCTTCTTTCATTGCCAATCTCCAGCACTCTTCTTCATTAGCTTCTTCAAAAGAAGCTGGTTCAACCATTGTTACCATATTGACAGCATATCTTCTCATATCTTCAGTCAGCAACTTATAGTCAACCACATCTGTGATTGGATACTTAGTGACAATTCCCAGGTAGTAATCCTTTAATCTGGCTGGTAAAGTAACATTTCTCTGAGGCCTTGTTCTAACTGGTTCTGCCTCATGTTCCTCCAGTTACTATGGAGTTCTGCTTCTTCTTCTTCATTCTCTACAGTTACATCAGTCTCATACACAGGAGTATTATCAAATGATGCACCAAATTCATTGCTTGTAGGATGAGAAGAGGAAGAAGAAGGTTGACAGGAAGGACTAATGACATGACCCTGTGTGGAAGGACTATTGACATTACCATGTAAAGAAGGACTACTAACAGGAGGAAGACTACTATCTGGGATTGATGGAAAAACAGGTGATGGATTGGTTTCAACCTGCTCATTATCAACTTCTGGAGTTGAGTTCAATGTTTTAAATGGAAATATGTCTTCATAGAATATCACATCCCTAGACACTAGGAAGTCATGTGAGTTTAGGTCAAACAATTTATAACCTTTGATGCCTGCTGGAAGTCCAAGAAAGATGCATTGTCTAGCTCTTGGATCCAACTTGGTTCTGCCTGGAACAGTGCTAGCAGCATATGCTAAACACCCAAAAACTCTTAAATGACCAAGGAAAGGAGGTTTTTGATACAGCACTTCATAGGGAGACTTGTTTTGTAAAACTGGAGTTGGAAGCCTATTGATTATGTAAACAGCATGAATCACACAATCACTCCAGAAATTAAGAGGTACACCTGAATGAAATCTCAAAGCACGTGCCACATTTAAAATGTGTTGATGTTTGCGTTCTACCCTCCCATTTTGTTCAGGTGTATAAGTACAGGATGTTTGATGTTCAATGCCCTGATTAAGGTAGAAATCACACATGTAAAACTCTTTCCCCTGATCACTCCTCACTGTTTTAACTGTCTTTCCAAACTGGTTATGAACCATTTTACAGAATCCAATCAACAGCCCCCTAGCTTCAGACTTTTGTTTCATTAAGTATACCCAAACAGCATGGGAATGATCATCAACAATGGTTAGGAAATAAAAATAACCATCATGGGAATTAACTGATAATGGACCCCAAATGTCAACATGCACCAATACAAAAATGTCTGAAGCCTTAGAATCACTCAAAGGAAATGGTAATCTCTTCTGCCTGGATAAATGGCAATGCTCACAGTGTTTCACTCTCTCAACAGGAACTGCTGGATTACATTTGTTAATAAGTAAAGTGCTACTATTACTGGGGTGGCCTAATCTCCAATGCCGCAGCTCAATCTTGTGGGATTCAAAATTGTAAATGGAAGCAACTTGAGAGGTAGTGTTTGGAATGGTAGGCTGGTCTGGTAGGAAATGATATAGGCCTCTATTTTCTTTTGCCAAACCAATCCTCTTGCTGGTCACTAGGTCCTGGACATGACAAAGGTCAGATTGAAATATGAGTGAGATTGGGAGGTCATGTGTAAGCTTGCTAACAGAGACAAGGTTGAAGGTGAAGCTGGGAACTAGAAGCACATTGTGTAAGAATAGATGTGGAGACAATCTAACTGAACCTATATGTGAGACTTGGACCCTTGCTCGATTAGGAAGATAGACAAAGATTTCAGACACAGGAGAACAACTATCAAAGAGGGAAATGGAACAAGCAATGTGGTCTGATGCACCAGTATCAAATATCCATGTGTTCTGTAAGGTTTTATGATTCTGATAAGTTGATAGAACATGCTTACCTCCATAGCTTGGGAATTGAGGTAGATAATTAGTCACTGAGTGTGACCTAAGATTAATTGCAGGACTCTGAGGAGAGGTTGGTGAGCTAGAACTTGAGGACTGCAAGAGGCTTCTCAGTTTGTTCATTTCCTCTGCAGTAAAGCCACCAGAAGTGTTTGAAAACCTGCTTCCAACCTCAACTTGTAAGTTCCTGTCTCCTTCAACATCTGCATCTTGAGCTACTGCACCAGAGAACCTATTGCCTGGTCCTTCTCTGTCCTGTCTCTTTTTCTTAAGTCTCCAACAGTCCTTGATCACATGATTTGTTTTCTTGCAGTAGTTGCAAAAACAGCTGGTCAGTCTCACCACTTCCCTTGTAGGTACCAGTTTCTCCACTTCCTTTGTATGGACTCTTGGATGTTGTGTTGGAATTTGAAGATCCAGTTCCACTGTAAGAACTGGCTGCTAAAGCAACTGATTGAGTTGTTGCCTTGTTACCAGATCCTTTTCCATCTGCCTTAAGCTTCTGTTCATGTTGTAACAGATCATGGAAAGCTTGCACCACTGTTGGCAGAGGCTTCTGCATTAACTGTTGTGTCCTGATGTAG